CAGCTGATAAAATATTTTTATACTAGTAGTAGGTAAAAATCGATATCATCTCGTTGAGTTGACATGGTAAGGCAATTAAGATCTGTTTACGTTTATACGAGACTCTAGATTGTTTATGACTATTTGACCCATAGATGATCAATCGAGTCAATTATGATATGAATGAAGCGAATTCTTTTTGACGATACTAGATAACTTAATTACGCCTCTTACTCCCAATTGAGTATAGACCGTCGATCAGCATTCACCAACCCACTCTGTCTTGAGCATTCCTTTCTATTTCTATCAAATTGTGGTTCATTCTGCTCATGTCTGTCTCCATTTCTGTGTGTAATGTGTTCTTTGGTTTTCCTCTTTTCCTTTTGCCTTGAGGATTCCATGATACTAGATATCATTTATCCCTTAATACATTTCACGAAGTTAGTAATAGTGTTCTACCAACATCAGTATTCGAAGAATAAACCAAGTAAAAAACAAAACCTAAAATGACTACAATTTTATGAAATATCTTCACTGACTTAAAATGCATACAGTTTTTCTCCTTAAGCACGATATTCAACAACACTGTTTAACGATTTACTTCTAGTGTTCATCTATGAAAAAGCTTTATCAATATACAAGAATATTAACCATGAATCACCAATAAGTCATGATGTTTCCAAAGTATCAATTTATGAAACTAACTATGAAAGTAATAAATTTAATCTTGTACAAAAGGATTCGTTAGTTTAAATCTGAAGGAGTTAATGGATGAGAAATAGTGAATGGACTTCGAAAAAAAAACAAAAAACAATGGCAATTAACATAGATCTACATTGAAGTCAGGTGATTAACTTAAACAGTCACCTAATTGAATATAAAATTAGTATATATTGAACATCAATGAAGAATTATTCAATAAACAAGTGATATTAGTTATTCGGTCTAAAAAATCTTCAAAGTGGTGCTAATCCATGCCAAGAGAGATATCTACTTCAGTACAATGGAAGATGATCACTCAATTTTGTGGATTGGTTGAGATTAGACATTAACATCGTTGGATGCCAGCCAACTCAATGGTCTAGAGATTAAGCGTTCACGCGTGAGACTGAAAGCTCTGGATTCGCATCCCACGAGCGGGATTATGGATGGACACTTCTGAAGAGTCCCATAGTGGAACGAAACAGCCATCCAGTGCATTCAGGTTTTCAATGGTGGTCTAACATCAATCAGTTCATGATCTCAATAAAAAAATACTTATGTTGACAGATCAGCGATTATCATTAAGAAGTCTTGGTTCAATTGAGTATTTTGCTTTTTGATACTTCTTAGAAAATTAATAAAAGACATTTAAAGTAATTTGTAGTTTTTTAAGGGTTCAACTCAAAGATATTGGGATCAAATTATACTTATCTATACTAACGGATCAAAAACTAAATAGACTAATTTTCAACTAAGAATCAATTCAATATCATAAACATATACCTATTGCATTGGTTCACATCTATTTTGAATTCTGAGGGGGGCATGGAGAGAACTATGAGTAACTTAAGCAAATAAATAGAATAACAAGAGAAAAAATGAGTCAATAACACAGTAACCACATAGAATGTACTTTTATTTGATAAACGAAGGAGACGACAACAATGCGTTGCGTAATAGTATGTAACTAAGACAATTCAACAATCACAGAATAAAAGTAGTGCCATGAGATTTTGAATCTTATAGCAATTCACGTGCAATTGAGTTTGTTCTCATTTAATTCGGTTAAGCCCTTTTGTTAACTTATTTAGCGAATAGAGTCATTCTTACTATAACAACGTATTGTACCTTTATTATTGTTGTGCTTGTATGAAATATGTGTGCTTGAACATTGCTTACCGCCTATGCATATATTCATTCTGCTAGCTTTATTATTAACTGCTTAATTGATTCGATGATCCATTCATTTCCCTATATAGATACATGTACATTTAAATCCACACACTACTCTACTCTTTGGAGTCGCTGACTCAATCAGTTGCCCCTCTGCTTTGTGGTCTGAGTTATCTGTTAATAAAACTGTTGTCGCTGTTTCTCTTTACCTTCTGATTTCAAACACCGTTGAGGATTATATGATAAAGGTTAGGAGGGTGATTGGTCGACGAAGCACAGCCACTACAATCTGTTACAATATATGCATATAAGTTGATCAGTTTGAAATCCACGTACAACTATTTTCAAGACAGTACAGATGGTATAATCTATTGTCTGTCAATAATAACAGTATTATGTCATGGACATCATCATGGACATAGTTACACAATACCCGCATCATTCAAAATGTAGAGAATATGTTTTAGATAATGTAACATAAAACGAGCTGATCCCTCTCTATTGTTTCATATTTGATAATAAAGTAATCGAATTTTAATCCATAACAGATTGATATTATTGAAAGTCTAAAGATCTATTTGTCAGGTTGATATGTAGAGCTGAAAGTTAATTAACTAAACACCAGTTGATCTTTCATTTGTGTTTATTACCAAATACTTACAGTATTTAAAGACATTTACTCATACTTCATAAAATGCTCCGATGCAGACGTAAAGGCAAGGATTAGTAAAACAATGTCTGTATTCCTACAAGTGAAGAATATTTGGAACTCAAAACAACTGTCAAACTACATCAATGTCAATATAATCAATATAAATGTCAAGACAGTTGGTTATATTGTAGGGAACTGAAATTTCGAGAACTACAACAACTATCATCAAAAAAATACAAGTATTTATAAACAATTGTCTATATGAGATACTCAATGTCGGTTGTTGGTCAGATATCATCAACAACAATCTACTGTAGGAGAGAACAAACCAACTTCTAACTGAGGAGGGAATTAGAAAATGGTGAATAGAACACACATTGAGGAAATCACCAAATTGTATCACGAGACAAGCACTAACTTGGAATCCTAAAGAGAAACGGAAGAGATGAAGGTCAAAGGACACACTGTGTCAGGAATTGGAATCAAACATGAGAAGAATAAATAGCAACTGAAATTACCTGTTAAGGATTGTCTATGAGAAATTTGGATGAAGAATGTTGGTGGGTGACTTAAGCTTCTCCATGAAGGGTAACATTAGTAAGTGAGTAAGTAATAATTGCACTTATATAATGTTGTGTCTTTAAGTCCGGTTAGTTATCACATAATTTATTCGCCAATCAAAATACAACTTATTCGCCGTTGTACTGACTAAACTAATAACGTTCGTCCGCTCTGAACAGCCTAGCGTCCTATTGGTCCATTGCTCGCCCAGCCCGTCCAGGTGAGTTCAGAATGCCAATAACAGCCTCCACTATGCGAATCATTTATTTCAGATATTCTTGGTTTATATAGACTGCAAAGCAGCATAAAATAGAAAATAACATTCATACACAATAAAGCCAAAAAGTGGCTGTGAACGTGGTAGACGGTAATTAATAAACTGAACATAACTTACGAACAGTAAATCGTATAGTAATAATAATAATAATCTATAGGTGAAAATGAAACTTATAATAATAGGAATGTAGTTATACACAGCCTAGTTACTGAATATTTATACCATAAGTATACACAGATAATATTACTCGATTAATAGGTCTCAGAAGTTACTCGTAATTTAATCTTCGCTAAGATATAACATACGATATACCCTTTGTGGGTCAGGGTAGTTTTACAATGGTTTTCAGTAGAACTAGAGATTAACCAGACTCAAACAGTACAGATCAATCCTGTCTCCTGGAGAACTAAACACCGCCCCGACTTAAATTTTATAACTTGAATAGTACAGCTCAATCTCACTTCATAGGAGTGTACCAGACATTGTATAAGTTTTAACGCTAAAATCTCAATAGTACAACTCAATACTGTGTCGCAATCATTCAGGTATCAAGCACAAATATTATATTATATAGATCACAACAGAATATTAAAACCTATTCATAATCGATCTCACTAGATCTAATTTCAATTCCATAATAAGTATATTTCACTGGTTGAAATCATGAGTCAATTGAAGCTAGGCCACCATGGAAAACCTGGAAGCACTGGACGGTCATTTCGTCCTAGTATGAGACTCCTCCTTGGCAGTGTGCATCTACGGTCCCGCCCCCGCGAGATTCAAGCCTAGGATCTATCAGTCTCGCGCCAGGTGCTTAACCAACTAGACCACTAAGCCGACATCTAAGGGTGTTAATGTCTCGTGGGGGGAGGGATCGTGGATGAACACTGTTGAGGAGTGTCATACTAGAACGAAACGGCCGTCCAGTGCTTCCAGATTTTTTATGGTTGTCTAACACCAACTGATTCATGATCTTAACCAGTGAAATTTTTTGAAATCTCCACAAAACCCATTCTAATAATAAATCAATTTATAACATTATGTACTTTCATTTGATTGGTTAATTATAATTAACCAATCAAATCTTTCCACAATTTGTAATTTAATAATCAATTCATTAGATCATCATTATTATGATTCGTTTCAATTACTGATTACGAATGATCTCATTTTTAAATTTACTAATGAATCAATTATTATTTTGAGTAGAGTTCATAATCGTCACTGTTTATTGATCGATTGATTGATGAATCGATTAATTAATGATAATGAACTATGATTAATTATCAGTACATGATTTCATGAATTAAAACACACATATATATATCTATATAAAACATTGAATCAATCCAGTATGAATCTGTTCAATCTATTCAATTATCAATATATAAATATATTGAATATATAATTTATAATAAATAGATGTATGTTACTAATTGATATGTCTCACTCACTCACTCTCTCTCCCCCTCCCTCTCTCACTCTCACTCTCACTCTTTCGCCATAGATACAAATATTATTCAATGAAATAAATAAATAGAAAAAACAACTTTTTTTTGTTGTTGTTTAAATACATCAATCATTGAACAATAAAAGAAAAAGGACAAATAAAATTAAATTATTTTAATAAATTAAAACAAACTGTATAATATAAAGGGAAAGGATTTATATTATTGATTTCAACAATTGGATATTGATCAAAAGAGAGAGAGAAAAAAAAGAGAAAGATATTTCGGTAAGAAGTATATTTTTTTTTGGTTTTGGTTTTGTTTATTAAAATACTTATTTATGTTTGTGAGTCTTTATGGAGGAGTATACATAGACTGTTTAATGGTATTCTCAATCTAATCTTATCCTGAGTAATCTTTTTCACTTGTTATTCATCTTTTTTTGATATCTGTTTGTATTTCCTGATGTAATGTGTTCTTTAGCTTTTCTGTTTTTTTTTTTGTTGCTTCTCTTAAGGCTTGTCTCATGATGTAGTTTGATGATTTACATAATGTATATCTTATCCACTTTGAATGCCTTTTCCTAAGTACCTCCTCAGTTAGAAGTTGGTTTGTTCTCTTCTACAGTAGATTGTTGTTCATGATATCTGACCAACAACCGATATTGAGTATCTCATATCAACAATTGTTTATAAATACTTATATCTTTTTGATGATAGTTGTTGTAGTTCTCGAAATTTCAGTTCTCTACAATATAACTAACTGTCTTGACATTTATATTGATTATATTGACATTGATATAGTTTGACAGTTGTTTTGAGTTCCAAATATTCTTCACTTGTAGGAATACAGACATTGTTTTACTAATCCTTGCCTTTACGTCTGCATTTAATCCTTGTTCATCGATGATGCCTTTAATTTGTTTCATCTGATTGGCGTTTTTTTTTAGCAAGTTTTTTCTTTACAGGATGTGGTCATTAGCCTCATGTCCAACCTACACTTTTTACCCGGGCTTGGAACTGGCAGTAACTCTAGAAGAGCTACTGATGGAGTTGTTTATTAAAATAGTTCAGTCTAATTCATTGATTATTATCTAAAATCGATAGTACATAAGAATGATAATTTTGTTAAATATTAAAGGTTTATAGTGTTTCCAATCTGTATTCATCTTTAGTAAGTTAATTATCTTTATAAGTGCACATCAGGACCAAGTAGTAGTTGTGTTTTTTTTTAATGTTTAAGTTTACATTAAAGATACTTCGAAGTTTAATTAACGTCAATTTTTTTTGAATGAATTAAACAGTTATGTTAGATTTTACACTGAAATACTATTGTCAATATAAATTAGGACATAGATGGATCTGATCTACATGATATTGTTTATTAACCAGTGATCGATTAATTATAAATACATCTCAGTAGTTCTATCGGAGGTCAGTTGTCGACCGGATAGCTCAGTGTTGATGTGAAGCTGAGTAACACGGGATCGAATCTATCAAGGAGTATCAGTTCTTTAAAGAATAATACAGGTACACTTTGCTGACGAGTACCAAATAGGTTGAGGTTTTCCTGTTGACTGCCTTCAACCAATGGTTGGAGACTCTGGGTGGTATGGCTCAGAATCGATTACAATGGCGTAGGTGTACATAGTTTCTGTCTTCCTTTAAACTATGAGGTTAAAATCACTTCAAATCTTTCTTACTATCAACTAATCATTTCTTCATGTACTATATCCTTATATGCAAATTTTTTTTCATATATCACCACCAGGGAATTAACTACTTCTATGAATCCAATGTTTATCTTGCTGTGCTAATGAGGTATGGCTACTTGGACTAATGCATATATGTACCAGGTTCTACATTGTAGCTGACTGATTGACTGACCTCCAACTACCATCTTATCTCAACATAGTGTACGCAATGTTTAGTCACCTAGACTACTGGCTACATTACAATTCGGTCGATAGGATTCGATCTATATTAAGAAGGACTTGACATACATGATATTTGATCACCACCCAGTGATCAATTAATTGTGAACGTGTGCTTATTTGTATATTATTTATTGTTAAATAATGACTAGTAGAGAATAGATCTTAATCAAAAACAATCTTTAAAAAAATGTTTTGTTTGATGGTATGAAATTAAATTTGATCCATTATGTATATATAACACAAAGAAATGAATAATAGTAATGAAGATATGAGGCTTTATTCTTCAAATACAACTATGTGTTATTCAGAGTTAGTATTTCTTTGATTATGAATAAGTGTGATCTTGGAAATTTAAGTGGTGAATAAGTACTTCCATGAGACTATAATTTATGAATGACCTTTGAGCGACGTTAAAGTGATTTTCAGAATGTTCACCTACTAACTAGGACCAAATGAGGGTTATAAACCAGTGTGTGTGGAATTAAAATTATGATTTTGTGACGACGGACCACCGGTGAACTCGAGGAAGCTGTAAGAGGCTCGGAAGAAGCCGAAGACGTCCCATCCAATCACCTTTCGGAAGAATGTTCTAGAATTCCAACGTGTAGCTTCCCGATTGGATAATACTAATAACCCCCTGTATGCGGATTGGAAGACTGTAATGATGATTTCGTTCTCACTAAAAACTATAAATACCTGACAATTTTGTACTATGATTGACACTGTTTGGAATAATATTCCTTTCGTTAGTCTTCTGTCTTCTTATTGCGACTTGGAAGGGTTTTGGTGTTCTAGTGCTCTGTTATACCCGGTACATCGAGAAAATCAGCTTTTCAAGACATAACAGATTTACAGTTGATGGTCAGGGTTAAGAATTACATTGAGAATTTTCATCATGAACTGACATCAGCTATAATGCGAAAACTCTATTCAGCCAAATGGATGAATGAAGTTCGCGCGAAAATCTGAGATCTGTTATCTTATACTTGATTGGTTCATTCATAAATTATAATCTTGCCGAATTATTCACATTCGGTTATTTGAAAATCCTTAGTACATTAAATCTATTATTATTATATCATATCTTTATTTTTGTTCGATATCATTATCTCTTCTTAAATTGTTCTATAGTTTTGCAACACAAATGAATACACTTTGTGTAATATTATATAAGTATTGATTTCTTCATTGTTCAGATGATAAACTCAAAGTTGAGATCATGAGTCAATTGAAACTAGAGCACTATGGAAGATCTGGAAGCACTCGACAACCATTTCGTCCCATTTTAGGACTCCTTAGTAGTGCACATCTACGATCCCGCCTCGCGGGATTCAAACCCAAGATCTATGAGCCTCGTGCGCGAGCGCTTAACCACTAGACCACTGACACATCCAACATTGTCTTCAGTGAGTTACTGTTTCACCAAAGACCTGGTTGAACTCCACTAGTCACTGCTCACTAGAACTCCAGGATGTACATTTATAAGCCAGTCACTAGTGAGCATATGTTGAATAGTATCAGAAGGGGGTTTGTGGAGATTGTAGTAATTTCTCATGATCTCAACTATTGAAATTACTACAATCATCACAAAATTCCTTCTGATATTATTACAAACTTTGAAAATAATTTCCCTGTAATTAAACTAACTGACATTATTGTAGTGGATTATATATGTGGTTATATGATTAGACCATCATGTATTCTCATGAAACCTCTTGGATGTTTACATTCACGAGTTACATAATATTTACTTAAGGCTAGATGTTTATATCACTAGTTACAAATCCATTTTAAATGTGCGAATACATGTTCATTATCTACCCTGATCTAGATGCTTAACAAATGATTGTATACAAACCTTTATATTGTATATTAAGCATATTAGAATGTCATTTGAATCATATTTTATCAATTTCGATAATGTAAATAGAAGACGAAGATTATCAGAACTATGTGATGATAGATTAGCGCAATACATTTCGAACAATCTGATCACACCTAATATACTTGTTAAGAACATTTATACATGAAAATTAAAATGTCAACTAGACTGGAAACGGGGTAAGAGGAGAATAAGGATAATAATAATGTGAACACAATTCGAAACCTAATCACTCTGGATAATAAGTCAATATTCCCACGGTAGGTTTAAGGTGAGAACAAACTGTTTTTGAACACACAAAGGGGATTTGAATTTTCGTATGGTTAAGGCTTCAATAAACCTTAGTATACGCCTTTTTACACCTTTATACAACACCACAAAAGCCGATTTAAGATCAATCTTGTGACATGTTTCAATTATATGTTTAGCAATAGAGGATGATGGATGTTTATCCTCTGCTCTTATTGGGTCACCTGATTGTATTTGTTTCTGAGGCCATTCGGGTACATGTTCACTCACCCTAATGTTGAGATCACGATTACTCCTCCCTATGTATGTGTGACCACACACACATTTAAATTGGTAAACACAGTGAGATGTGACACAATCGTTTTCATGTCTTTTTAAGTTTTGGATGAAGCATGCACCTTGTTATTTCTTTGATGAAGACCTTTGCTGCGCAATACGTTTTGTTGATGACTGATTTAAACCTTTAATTCAATAAAAGGCTATTTGAATCACATCTAAATGGTAAGGTGATGTAGATAGGATTTTTCTCTGCCAAAGCTATAAAAGGTCTCACTGTACCATGAACTTTCCATCTATTTATGAATTTCAGAGGTTAGCCATTTTCCATTAATCTTTTATTTAACAACTTAACATCATCATCATTGGCGTCGTTTGTACAAATACGATCGAGTCTGTTGAAAAGACACCTGATCAAACGTTTGTATTGCACTGGGCAATAACTATAATAACTAAGATATTGACCAGTCCACGTTGGTTTTCTAAAAATAGATCGTTTGATTGAGCCATCTTCTCGTCTACTCAGAAGTATATCTAGGAAGGGAAGCTGATCGTTCTTCTCCTCTTCACATGAGAGACTAATATGGTTTTGGAGAGTGTTAAGTTTATTTAGTAAACAGTACACATCCTCTTTTCTCTCACAAACAACTTAGATATCGTCCACATATCTGTTATAAAGTGACATGTTTCCGATTAATTCATCAGTCTGATTTTCAACATGTTCCATGAACACATCTGCTAATAATGGTCGTAGCGGACTACCCATAGCAACTCCATCAATCTGACGAAAGTATTCACCTTCAAAAGTGAACTGAACTTTGTCAGTACATAATAATAGTAAATCTTTAAGAGTTTTTACAGGGACAGGTGATTGAAGATTGTTTTCAGATATGTAATCACATAATATATCAATGGTTTTTTTCAAAGGTATATTTGTAAACAAG